CCGCCCACAGTCAGTTCATATCAAGTTCAGATCAGACAAATTTGCCATTTCCATGCAGTCCAAGCCAGTCCGTATTCAGTTTAAACCCATTATTAACTAGTTCCACCTCCTTCCCAATACGTCCAAACCTATTCTAACTAGTTCACCACTCGTTTTCAACCCGACCACCACGTTGAGAGACAGTTCAACTCGTCCTCATCTCGTTCTTAGTGAGTTCGAAAGCGCTCCTAGAGCATGTGCAATCCCGTCCTAGCTCGGCAGCTATAAAAACCCAGCGCGTTCTCGCCATTCCTCATTCCCGTTCAACTTCAACGCTTCAATCCTGGCAGATCAAGACAATCAAGTAAAGTCCTTAAAGGGGAAGTCCACCCTGAAATTAAGTTAGTTTTAATAGGAGTAGAAAAATGAGAGAAACAAGGCAGTGAAAGTTTGAGCAAATTCCGATTAAAAATAAGGAAGTTAGGATTTTTGAAGTTGTGATCAATCAAACACAAATTGGCAACTCTATGACGTATCATGCGAGCTCAACTTCCATTTGCTCAGTACTAAAAAAATCTAAAATTTTCATTTTCCCTCAAGAAAAATTTCAACCATACATGCACCCTAAATATAATAATTGCAAATATGTTTCTATACTCCCCTGCAAGGAACAAATATATATTCCGTCATCAATAACGAAGAAAACATGATTTTATGGAATATTATGCACAAAGCAAATGAAGGAGAGCTCGTATAATAAGTCACAGAGTTGCCAATTTCTATTTGATGATCACAACTTCAATAATTCATAACTTTCTTATTCTCATTCAGAATTTGCTCAAACTTTCACTCACCTGATTTTCTTATTATTCTGCCTCTATCGAAACAAACTTATTTTGGGGGTGGACTTTCCCTTTAAATAGATCGTAAACAGTTGCTGTTAAGTTCAACACCGTTCGCACACAGTTTTAGCCCGTTTGGCAACATTTTCGAGAGTCAGAACTAGTTTGGTGTGATGGGGGCTTAATGTACTTAAACATTTATTATTAGGTAAAATGAAGAAATATTTGTTACTTTATGTATATGATTATGTTCTATTTTTAAAATGTAGAAATAAAAACAAACAAACAAACATCCAACAAAGGTCACTGAATTATTCGTTCTCCGAAATCACCCAAGCGCGACAGTCCAGGCGCCATTTTGTTTTAGTGATGAATCATAACCTGTGCTGCCGAGATGATATATATACTATAGAAACAAGATTAAACAGGTTTACCGAAGTCGAATAAGTCATGACGTTGCCCTATTTCTATACGTTTCAGTAAGTAAATGTATTTACGAGCTTAAAGGACATGTCCACTCGAAAAATAACTTACTTTCAATAAAAAGAAGAAAAATCAGACAAACCAATCAAAAAAAGTTTGAGCAAAATCGGATAACTAATAAGAAAGTTTTATATTTTTGAAAAAGTATGTAAAACTATGGAACAATGAGAATCACAACACAAGTTGCCAAGATGGTTATCATTTTGTGACGTCATGTCCTCGTTATTTATCAATTGCTCTATATGGTTTAATCCCATTAATTTCCCTTTTTATTCCCCAAAGCTTGATTTACCCATGCCTTTGCCCAGGTTATATGATTTGTATCATATTGCGTTCATGACATTTTAACAAAATCTTTTATGAACTTTGAAGAATTTATACTATTTTCTGAATATTGTATATTCATAATTATTGGTTTTTATATAAATATTTTATCAAAATTCACATTTTTCATGATTTAACTGGAAAAAATTACTCTGTGTTAGTGCATCCACACAAAAACATATGACTATTAATCTAACTTGGATGCTGGTGTGAAGAAATGAGATTCTTAAGGAGAAAATAGGAAATTTATATAATCAATATAAAGAAATTAATTAGTGGATAGTGAGGACATGACGTCACAGACTCATGAGTGAGTTGCCAATTTGTCTAGTGATTTTCAAGGTTTTAATGTCATTAAAAATTCATAGCTTTCTTATTACTTATCCGATTTTGCTCAGACTTTTTTTTATTGGTTAGTCTGTTTTTTCTGCTTCTATTGAAAGTAAATTATTTTTGGAGTGGACTTGGGCTTGAAATTGGTATGATATCTTAAAAGACTTTGAATTAAACCCGATTTTAACAAACGGTCAAATAACAGGTGTTAGCCATAGATAGCAAATCAAAAAGTTCCGAAATTGTTTTCTTTGATCTTCCAGTCGAAGCCATCCCACCAGAAGTTTACTCCTGTCCCGAAGACCAAACATTAACAGCTTATGTTGGCACTACTACCAATAACTTCACATGGACACCACCAACGGCTACTGATGCAGCTGGGATTCAATCCATTGTCTCTGACCATCAGCCTGGAGTTGAAGTCTCTGTTGACAACCCAATCACAGTTACCTACACTGTGACTGATAATAATGGAATGACTAACATAAACTGTTCTTTTACTCTAAGCGTCGTACAAGAAGGTATATATTGATTTTTTTTTCTTTGGATTAGGAAAAAAATGAAATTGGTCAAGAAGATTTCAAAATTAAGAACTTTATTCAAAATGAAACTTTAAATTGTTTCTGATGTTAGGGTGAAAGCAAAATCTTCCCATCGATATCAATTACTTGTTCTTGTTCACGTTTTATCTTATGCCAACAATGTCATTCGTTTTGTACGCAGTGCTTGTTATTCCTATCTAGGTCCTTTCTCCAGCCCGATTCCTGTCAAATTTCGTAGGAGTATTCTCCTTCATCCAAAATAGGTCACCTGACTCTCCGTTTTCCGACATAACTCATGCATGACCGTCCAGCGCCGATTTGCCCGTTTCTGGTCCGTTTTAAGGCCTTTCTTTTTCCTTCGTATCTCCACTATCCTTGATGCTACAGACTTCTTACACATTGCTCTGGATAGTCCGAGAGAAGTTCTTTTGTTTAACACGTAGGAACACGGGCGTCAATGCATGCATATCGTTCTGTTTACAATTGCAGTTCTAGTATTATCATTGTTATTAATTAATCATTATTACTACTACTACTACTACTACTACTACTACTACTACTGCTATCATATGAATCCGCATTACCATCATCGTCATCGTTGTATCATTATTTAGGCTCAAATAAGACCAAGTCCGTTAAAGGCGACAAGAGAGTGAGCGTTGCCTTTGCTAAACGCTTTGCGGTTGGAGGTAAGAATGTTTTGTTTGCTATTTATAATTTTGCATTCTTTCCCCTCATAAAAAAAATTGCAGAAAGAATTTCCCATTTTATTTGAAATTATAAATCAGAAAATTTAATCATTTAAAGAAAACGGGGGGGGGGAGAAGAGTAGAAAGTAGGGAGAAGGTGCTATAGAAAAAAAGACTGTAAACGTAACACGATCACAAAGGCCTTTGAAAATCAACTCAAGGGTTTTTCAAATATCATTTTGTTTACCTTATAGACTCTTGTTCGGATTACGTAATCCGTCATTGCTTGCTTAAGGCCCGGTCACACAGAGGGGACGCATGGGGAACGCACGGCCAGCGCATTGGAAATTTGCAATTTTGGCCAGTGCGTTGTCGTGCGCCCAACTTTTGTCGAAGCTACAGCGAGCTGATACCAAATGCATAGCGCCTTGCTAGCGCGCTGAGCGCATACAGGGCGCATACAGGGCGCATACAGTGCGCATACAGACCGTACACAGAGCGCACATGATAACAACTTCCATGAATGCACAGCGTGTTGCTAGCGCGCTGGACGAATGTTCCACGCATACACAGCGTTCTACGACGCACGGCCAGCGCATTGGAAATCGGAAAAGGCCGTGTGCCTAACTTTTGTCATAATTTTGGAAATGCTAGCGAGCTGACACAAAATTCACGGCGTGTAGCTAGCGTGCTGTGCGTATACAGGGCGTGTGCTCCGCGTATGTCTGGCGCTGGTCTAGCGCGCTCCACGCATGTCTGGCGCTCGTCTAGCGCGCTCTACGCATGTCTGGCGTGCCTTTGGCGTGTACATTCATGGGTCGAGCTCCGCGCACACTTTTGAGCATGCTCAAAAAATCCCGACGCACACAGCGAATGACGACGCATGCATAGCGTGGGTCCAGCGCGCTCGACGAACGAGTAACGAATGATGACGCACGCCTAGCGAACGACAACGCACTGGCTCAAATTGCAAATTTCCAATGCGCTGGCCGTGCGTCCCTCGTGCGTCCCCTCTGTGTGACCGGGCCTTTACGCAACTCGTGCATGTGTTAATAATTCAATTCAGTTCATTATACATTCACTTGTATATGATATCAGTCTCACATAATTATGAAGCATCAAAAGCCGCGTCAATCACTGACACAGTCCTACGCCAGGCAAATAAAGCATCATGTGCTAAAAGTAGTCCTCCGTCCCCCTACGTCAAAAGGTTGCGTCCTACCTGTGTCATTGTGCATGTGTGCCTGAGTGGCAATGTATATTGCTCCTGAAGCTCATACGCTATGGGATTAAAAAGAAAACGATTTAGGTACCTAAGTTTCTGCTGCACTGTCCTTGGGTATCTCCCGTGGTATTATCGACTTTGTGATCCTCTCACATGACTGTAGATCAAATAATTTTCAGATATGCATAGGCCCGAATTCACAAAGGAGGTTTAAATCTAACCCATGGTTTAAACCGGTTTGGACCCTAGGTTAACCCATATGTGATCCTTTTGCAATTCACAAGGGAGGTTAAGATTGAACCCACGGTTTAATAGCGTCACATGATGTCATATTTTAGCACCCGGCGAAAAAGAAAAAACTTAGGCTTGACCACTGATCACTACGAAAACTAGTGTAGCGGGAGGCGCTTAGCGTGCGAATTTGTTAATCATGCCATATATTGATAAGCTATGATTATTATTATTGCCATTATCATTACTAATATTATTGTTTTATTGTTATTGCTATTATTACTACTACATCTACTATTTTTATCAACATCATTATCCTCATTACCATCATTATCATCTTTATATCGTTTTTAGGCACAAATAAAACTTTTGAGGCTGATAAAGCCGTCGACTTTGAGATCAAGTCCGTGACAGGCGACAAGACAGTGAGCGTTGCCTTTGCTAAACCCTTTGCAGTCGGAGGTAAGAATGTCTGGTTTTTCTTCATACTTTTGTATTCTTTCCCCTCATAAACTAATTGCAGGAAGAGTTTCCCGGCCATTTTATTCAAAATTATAGATCAGTTTACACAGTTACCTCATCAGCGAGTACACTGGTAAATTTGTTATCCTTCTCTTTAACTCTCTCTTTCTTCCTCTCCCTCTCTGTCTCTCTCTAGTTTCATTCCTGTTATCTTGTTACTGTATGCGCTTTAGAAACATGGTAATAAACGCTTCATAAATGTTGCAAATTATTATGGGTACATACATATACCATACTGTGTCATTGATGTTACAGTGACCGCCCTCACCACTATCTACGATCCGGGTGACAGTGCTGAGCGGAATGACAACGCTGTTGAAGGCGTTGGTGATCATACCGATACGAAGCTCGTCATCAATTCCATTGTCCTCGACATCGTCCTCGTCGACGAGCACGGAGTGCAGATCGTTCTCGGTAAAGATGAAGAAATACTCCTGACATTCGCGTCCAGCGAACCGGTGAGAGAGAAGTGTTATTTCGTGTAGTCTGTATTTATTTTGACGTTTATTGTTTTTGTTATGGGAATCTAATTTCGTAATATTTACATTTCTTTATACAAATGAAATTGATATTATATCACAAGTAATTTGATTAATTGTGGGTGAACATCATACCAACACTTTTCTTTCCATTCTTCTTCTTCGGTATATTTTTCAGCCTGGAATTCTAGCTCAAATAGCTTTCAATTCAGTAGACTAGATTAAACGGTTGATAATCTGTTGATATATAAATGCATGTACATATCAACGTGAGTAAACTTGGAAATTTGAATATACATCACCATCAAAAGACAAGACTCAGGATCAACACGGACACTGTTTCATTAAGCCTGCTATAAATAGCAAAGTTCTAGTAAAGGTAAAAGCTACTAAATTCAGTACATTTGATAGGGTGGGAGCAATTTATTTCTAGAATAGGCTATTTTCGCAATGTAACTAAATTTATGCATATGCCTGTGTGTAGCGCCTCGATATGAATTATTTCATTCACCTGTTAGGAATAAATGTATATCAATGTACATTATTTAATTTGCATACATTACTTGTTATTTCTAGTACAAACATTATGGCTCGTCCTATCTAGCAAAAAAAAACATATGAAATTTGCATTCTGACTATTGAAAACAAATTATTCGTAACAGGTGAATGAAATAATTCGTATCGAGGGACTTCAGTATAAAGTTGTTTGCATTATGAAAATGGTCTATTTCGGCACTTAATATTGATGATTAGATTTACACAAAAAAAAGGATCCCTGGTAATGGGAAAAGCAGGCCAGAAAATAGACCCTTATGGTCTAAACCAACAAATCTGTGCAAGGTTCATCTTTTATTTCATTTCTAGGGAGGATTCAAGGAGAGAATTTGCCGGTATTATGATGAAGACGTGTCCAAGTAAGATTTCGCAATTTTTTTTCAACCACACCCTTATCTGTCTGTGGAGGTATGGTTCATTAACTTGACACTCAATTCAAGGGTTGAGGGTTTGAAGCTCAGACCGACACTAACGTCTTTCTGCAAGATGTTAATCCACGTTTGTCACTCTGGTACCTGGTAATCGCTGGGGTAATAATAGTTTCAGGGCCCCCAGGAAGATACCATTGAAGCTGATCGATGAGGCTTCCTGGGTTAACATATTATTATCATTATTATTATCGTCATTATCTTATTAGATATTACATTATTGTTTGAGAGGGCCGTGAAGTAAAGCATTATCAAAATGGTAGCTTAATGATTTTACCGTGATTGCTTCAACCATTATAATGTTGGATTCAGCATGTTATCATATATATTAAATCAACTATTTTGAAAATTGTTTCACTCTTCAGTTCTTTTGAGTGTTGATTTAACACTAAAGCTTTTAGAATGCATTTAAAGTTTAGATTTCCTTATTTTTTTATTTTTCTACCTGATATCGTTTGTTTATCATTTAAAAACTCGTTTCAAATCGAAGTAATGAATCATAGAACAGTTTAAATTGAAAAAATTCTTCAAAAACAATTTACTTACGTTTTCAGGAATTAGATTTGAATTGACTTTCACTTTTTTTTTACGATTCAAGCCCGGACGACTGTTGTGTATCAGACAATTTGTCATGAATCAACAATATATTTTTCAATTGCACGTATCATTCTACGAGAGGTAAATCAGGCCAGGCTAACACAGATTGGTCATGAAAGTTGCGTTAACAAAACGGTAAACTATGGTAAACGTAACCTCCAGGGTAGGATTTCACTCGCTTAGTAGAATTGGTCTAAGATGGCAAGAAAACACATACATTTTTGACACATTCTTTTTTTGCTCTCTAAAAAACAAAAAATTCTCTAGATGGTCTCGTTTTGGCTGCTACGTTCAAACCTCCAACGCGAGTGTTGTCACCTGCGCGTGTAACCATACCACCAGTTTCGCAGTGCTTCTACAATTTGAGGTATTGTCATTATTCTTTTAAGACATGTAGACCTCTCACTCGACAGTGAAATATAGGTGATCAATTATAGCGTTACACGAACTAAATTCTTGATTTAAAGCCTAGAACATAGGCCATATACTTGGATCTGAATATCAATTGGATTTAGAACTAGAATTTTATTTTTAATTCGAATAAGTGCATCAGTTTGCATTTAAAGTTGAATTGAATTTGAATTGAATTAGCTGTTTAATTCGAATTTGAATTTGAATGTAATGGTTTCTACGTTATTTTTGTAGTACAGTAGAGAGAGTTAACAGACCACATCCTAAACTTTACGTATTAAGGCCCATGCAGTCACAGCCCAAGCCCTTACCCTATACATTTTACAAATTTAAAAACAGGAATTGTTCCTGGACATTTTGTCGGTGACACTGTCGGAGGATCTTTCTTCCTTTCTTCGTTTTTTATTTTTTGCAAACACAAAATCGAATACAGGATTGTGCGATTGACGATGCCAACCTTCAGATCCAGACTTTAATGACTCGAATCTTCAATTCCATCTCCATCTTCGCCCTCTTCCTCTCCGTCATCATATTCACCTATCTCAAGTAAGTTCATCCATTTATTACAGGTTTTGAAGTCTAGTGGATAAGTCTCTGGACTGCGAACCACGTTGTACAGGGTTCAAATCAATGTTGCAGCACCATCATATTTGGCAAGACATTTGCTTCATTCATCTTTTATCACATTACTCAGTCGGTGACAGACATGCATTCAAAATAACACATGCAACCCAGGACGAAGACTTGACCTGAGCAGGACATCACAGATAAATATGACATTAATTGTCACAAAGTTTGAGATACAGGCAAACCTATCTTAGTAGCAACCTATCTAGAATTACCACAATTACCACTTTTTGTGTCTCACATGGGTGGCCTTTATAGACAGGTTTGATTATATATATATACATATATGTTACCTTCGGCAGAATCATCGCTCCCAGATTTTGGGGTCCAATGTTCATATCATAATTTTAAATCGAGGATTTATTATCGATAAATTGATTGGATTTCATTGGATTGGTTTTGAACTGTTGGTGAATAAAGTTTTTTTTTGGTCAATAAATTGATTTCCTTAGATTCATTCAGACATTTATCTCTCATTTAAGAGGCGGGACACCCTGACAGTAAAATCCTCTTTCCAAAAAGGATCTATACAAGTCATATAAAGAATTTTGATTGACTTGAATCAATCGAAACTTGAAATTAATTTCAACTGCTATCTCTTAAGTATGCAGTTGCGATTAATTTAAAGTTGCGATTGACGCAAATCTTTATAATAGAAGGCCCTAATTTAATTACATTGGCTTAAATGGTGGTACATTTCTGACCGGGTCAATGTTCCAACTGTCTCGCCATAAAGATAATACGAAACTGACGATTTACTATTATTATTATTATACATTTTTTCGACCTGATTCAATTCGATTTGACATGTTGGTTGTGTAATTCCAACTATTAAAGTTAAGATTTATGTTTGCCTCTACTCGAAGAAAATCCAAAATTTGGAGTTCATTGTTTATTCATTGATTTGATTTAAATTAATTTTAATGATTTGACCTGTAGATTGTACACCTCTGACCAGGTCAAAGTTCACATCTGCCTTGCCATCTCACTGGCCTTGGCCCAACTGGTGATGTTGTTCATGGGCCAGACCGAACATAAGGTAAACAAATAATAGGTCGCCATTGACCAAGTAGGCCTATTGAGAATATGTCCGAGTCTACGGAAACAACTTAAGAACATTTTTTAGAACATTGCCTCTGAACATTAACTCATGCTTAACAGCTAAACCACACGGGACCTCTAGGAGAGTTCCCGGATAAATACCGAAATAATAATAATCATAATCATAATAAAAAAAACAATGATCATAATACCAATAAATCAAATCAAATCACATCAATTGTAATGATAGTAACGATAATTACCTAATGCCTCCAGGCCAATCACCCATGCCAGTTCGCTTACCATTAACTTTCCCCAAAACTTGTACCCAATCTCCAATACAATATCCATTCTGGACAACTTTGCCAGAAACATTTACCCATGATGTCTGGGACAATAAACCATACCGGACAATGGTGTTTATTGATAATCTTTTTTTTCTTCTCAGAATAACACGTCTTATTAAAGAAATAAAATAACTATGTCTACCTATTACACACCCATCCAACACCAAAGGGTATCTGTCGGGCCATAGCTGGTATCATGCACTATTTGTTGACGGCTTACTGCATCTCAATGATCCTTGAAGGGACACTGCTTCACCGCAAAGCCTCCCGGACTCACAAGGCCCCAGCCAAGGGTTGGGTGATCTTACTCTGCGTTTGGGGTAAGGATTGGTAGTAATTAATATTGGTAGTGGGTGGTGGTGATGGTGGTGGTGTTGGTGGTGCTACATAGCCTCTCAGCAAGGCATCTCGTACCCACAAGGCCCAGTCAAGTAGTATTTGATTTGCGTCTGGGATAAGGATTGGAAGCATAACTGGTGGTAGTGATAGTGTTGGTTTTGTTGGTAGTATATGATAGTACCATTAGGCCCCAGCAAAAGGTTGGCTCATTAAGAAAAAAGGCCAATACGCTCATGGGAACACGTACTATGACTACTTTTGTTCAATCATTAAAAATGCAATTGGGCGTTGATTCATAAATGAGAATAATATGGACTCTGTTTTTCTTTTCCCCAATAGGCATTCCATGTGTGATGATAGCCGTAATGATGGGAAGTGTGATTGATGGCTATGGTGGTGAATGTGCGTAAGTATTTACTAGAATAACGACTGGTATTCAAAATAAACCAATTATAATCCTGGGCCTTGTCTCGTAAAAAGAAGTGCGATTGATCTGGATTGATTGCAAGTCATCCAATCAATCGCAAACTTGCAAACTTCTAAATCTTTAGGACAGATTTGCAACTGAAAGAAAGTTTAAATATTTGGTATAGATGAAAACAATTATTTATGAGCTTTTCCATTCTTTGCTTATCACGTTAGAAGAAGAATCTAGTAGAAATGCTTCTGAAAATTGTGTCATTCAATGCCCCAAATTGAAACTATGAGGAGAATTTGCTGGAAGGTATAAAACAAACCAACTAACTTTTTGTTAAAGTCTTTTTATTCCGTTAAAACATCTCATACATATTACAAATTAAAATTTAACACATGTATTTCAAATATATTATTATCATAATACAAAATGATAAACCATATATTATGAGTAGAAACCGAGATTATGGATAAGAAATAACTATTAAAAAACAAAGACTGTCACATGTGTGGGTGTAGTCCCATATTGACATTTCTGTATGTAGTGTATTTGATTCTAATTAACCTAAAAATCTGCATTGGAATGTACTGCATAATCAACCTTTCCCAATTCTTTCTAATCAGTACCTTTCACAATGTAATAATGATAACGCAACTAGTAGTCAACTTTATTTGTAACAATTTTGAAATGCATCACCTTTCTTTTCAATAGCTGCTGGTTGAACGTGCAATACGGAACCATGTGGATTTGGCTTGCAGAGGTGTGTCTTGTCGTAGCGGTAAGTAGTATACCAAACAGTAGATATTCATTGACTTAAAACTAACTTTATTTTCATGATTGCAACGTTGAAACTTTGATTCGACAAGGTTATCAGAATTCAATGCTTAGAAACATTCGAAGTAATGATTATTATAAATTACAAAATGCTTAAATACAGCCCCGGCATAGCACCTGCAGAGCTCTTCGAACGCTGCTGAGATGTGTAATATCACACTATGGACATGATTTGCACAAACAGACGATGTCCCATGACTTCTCACACATTTCCAGTGTCTGTGTTTTCATCTTCTCTTAAGTTCTTTCTCTTACTTCACTACCGGCAGGCTAAATGTATAATCTATTGCCTCACTCTAAACCCCGCGCATGTTTTTATTTTGATGACAAATGCAGCGATACAAAAATAAAGGAATTGTCGCTTGTAAACAAAATAATACTCGATTGTATATTCAGCTGCACACACCGCGGTATGTTCGGCGTTTCAAGAGGGAATAAATGCCGTCCTTAATATCATTCCGGAGGGGGGGGTTCAATTTGAAAGTCTGGTTTCTTTGATTGTTAATTAACCCCTATCTTGTGTATTTACAAGCAAAATATTTTAGTTATCAGAATCGGGTCATATCCCCTTTTGAATGGTTTGACATGACATTACATTTATATATACTAAACTCATTATAATTCGACAAATATTAGCTTTGCAATTATGTTCATTCTTTATGGGATGTTGTCTGCTTGGGGAGTATTGGTCCATATAGTGACGTCATTAAAACATCGTTATTTTTCTGGCGAATCTCTCGTATATCCCAGCTATATGGAGGTGGTTGTATTTGTATTTATATAAATCACCCGAAATGTAGTTGACCTAAACCTTGTACGATGTCCATCTGTTAGCTTACCAGTTTTTTAGAGATACATTAGTTGACATAATTGTGATTTTCTTTGAATTTCACCTTTAATGCTTGGTTGTTGTTGGGAATATTCCTGTGGTCGAGATCCAGGGTATTTGGTTTTAGTGTCTCGAGTAAATATAGCACATGTTCATTCCATATCCGGCCCAGTTTAGAACAGTCTAGTGTTACGGCACGTGCATTTCAAAGGAAAGGCAATGACTTAATCACCAACCTTTAGTAACAAGTGTCCTCTGAAAATAACATCACGTTCGACGAGCCGGGAGAAATATAATTCAATTCAATATATTGTATTTATACTTTAAAAACAATTTTACAAATCAATAACCAATAGTATATTTGTAAAGCGCTTAGAGACATTTGTATTAAGCGCTATATACAAATTAAATATTATTATACTATATTATACATATGAATAATAGTGGCAGGTTCATGAAAAGCACTAATTGGCTTATCAAAAAAGACCCCTCAACAAGTATACGCATTACATATTTTATATTGTAAGAAAATATCAAAGATCATTGAAGAAATGATAAAGATTTAAAAAATGATAAGGAAGACAAGATAGGAAATATTATAATTATAGCTTTGCCAGTAAACCAGCTGCGGAATTGGAAAACATGGTGTGTTTTTTATTCCCCTTCTGGCCAAAATACATCTTGGACAAGACTGAGGGACAAATGTGGGCCGAACATCTTGTCCAAATATCTAAGGATGACGTGTATGCACCGAGCAAGGATCGAACCGGGACCTCTCATAATTATGTTAGTCAAGAGCCTTCACAACATACCACAGTGCTATAGTTCACTCTCAGTTGAATGTAAATGTTATTGAACATTTGGGCAACAGATCGATGAATCTTTTAGCCGATACTAATTATACTTATTTTAAAAACGGACTAATATTTCATTATGTATATTTCTTTGCCATGGCTACAGGTTAACACCGTTCTACTGTCTCTGATCATGCGCACATTTATCTCTCTCAAGGCGAACACAAAGAAGAGCGAAAATGACAGACTCAAGTAAGTCAAGAACCTTAATTATACAGGAGAAATACAAGATTACGCTTCTTTATGAAAGATTAAAATTTGAATTATATTTGTTTATGTTGAGGATTTCTTTACTTGACTAATGAGAAGGTATGCACTTGCTTGTAAGTAAGGAACCGATGACTGACAGCTTTAAGTCTTTAAAGGTACTTTCTTGACGGTTATTGAAATGGAAATGCTTGTTTTTTTGCATGCCTATAAGCAGTGGCGTACGCAGGATTTTTTCAAGGGGGGGGGGGTTAAAATCGGGCCCAAAATTTCGAAACGACTCAGGAAAATTTGAAAATCGCGCCGGCCAAAAAGTCGCTCAATCGGGGGGGGGGGGGTAAGCGGACACCTTTTTTTTTTGGGGGGGGGGTCCAAAAAAAAATCGCACCGACTAAGTCAGCTGAAAAGTCGCTCAGTGGGGGGGGGGGGGGGGGGGTAAGAAGACACTTTTTTTTGGGGGGGGGGTTCTCGAAATTTGAAATTTTGACATTTTGTTCCGTTGGGGGGGGGGGGGGGAGGTAAGGTCACCTTTTTTAGGTCATCCATTTGCATTATTTTTTTATTTTTTTTTATACAAAAACAAACAAAACAAAAAATCAAAAGGGGGGGGGGGGTTTCACACAAATCAAACACAAACATACACATAAAAAAACTCAAGGGGGGTTTAACCCCAAACCCCCCCCCCCCCCCCCCCCCCCCCCCCCCCCCCCCCCCCGTACGCGACTGCCCATAAGACATATTAACGTAATAAGTGAGAGTTTTGTTTCTGGTAAATGTTTGACTTTATACCATGTTATCCGGAAAATCCGTGTGTAGAAGAACAAAAAAAGATAACGAAGATTTAAAAGCAGCGGAGCTGATAAGTTCAGGATGGTGTTCTTTTAAAGACGTTACATATGGTGCATACTCAATTTCATTTGACGACTACATGTGGAGTAGCAACATCAATATATTTGCAATAGTAATAAAAGAAAATGAAGAATAATGATGTGGTAAATGATGAAATATATGATTAGTACTACAAATTCGAAGAATAGCAACAAATACAGAAATACTAAAGATTTTTGTTTTGCATCCACCAAAGAAATTTACAAGAATGAACAGAAAGCCGGGATTGGATTATAAACGGAAGCTAAAGGAACAAAGCGCGCAAAAAAACTCGGGCTGTGATTGGCTGCCGGAAAGTAAACATAATACCAACCGTTTAATGAAAACGTCTTGTAGCAATGAATTATTATGCAAATTATATTATGAAATAAGTATTTTGACGTCTCTGTGTCTGGGAGGTGAAAAGCGAAATGAACTACTTCAATCATCGTGTCTCTTTTCCCTGTATAGTGCAGAGGATTCTTAGCGTGCACAGGTGGTAACTCTCCTCTACATGATGCCTCCATTTAACCTCCTATCCGAGGGACGGTAGTCGTAGCAATATAATGAAAGTATATACATTATCAATTTGCAGGGCTACAGCTCGTGCTTTGTTGATCATGATGCCTATGATGGGAATGACTTGGATGTTTGCTCTGCTACAAGCTTCGTTCAAAAATGTCTTCTTGCAGTGGTTATTCATCCTACTCAACGCACTGCAAGTAAGAACAAGCAAGCAAACAGACAAACAACTACAAAAACATCACATCAGCAAACGACAACAACATTACAACACTACAACATATCAACATAATTTAATAACAGTTATGATGATATTAATAATAATACATGTATTAATAATAATGACAAAAATGAGACTAATAATACTGATAGTAATAATAATTATGATGTTAACAATGATAAGAATGATTATGATAATAACATTTATCATAATGATAATAACAAGAAGTAGAAGAAGAACAAGAAGTAACAACAACAGCAACTACAGCAACAACAACAAGAACTAGAATAATAATACTTGAGCAAAATTGAAACATACATGTATTAAGATTTGGAGTGGAAATAAAATCTGGGCAAGTTTCAATCCATAGGTAATTAGAAAGATCTAGATATCTAGAAGGAAGATTCAAACCTATACAAAAAATATCATCTTCGAGTTTCATGACGTTTCCATGGGATTACTTTTCTAGTATCGACATAGCTATATATTTCATAGAGTTGAAGAAAACAAAAAATTGCCTTGTTTTAATCAGGATCTCATGTTATCCCATCGTTAATGTTCCATTCACATCAAGACTATTGCCTTTTGTGTACAAACTTTTAATCCAAACAGTTAAAAGTTTCACATTTTTAAAAGTTGTTTTTAGTACTGTAATCAGGTAATAAACGTCTTGCTTCTATCTTAACCATCGTTTATTATACTTGTTGGTCATCAGGGACCCCTGTTCTTCGTGTTTCAGTGCATCATGCATCCAGAGGTGAGATACGTTTTAACAAAACAAAAAGCCTTTCTTCCTCCCTCTTTCATATCGACTATGAAGCTTCATCACTTTCTCGACTATTTCTTGTCATATTTCGAATATTAGGTTATTTACAAGAGCAATCATTCTCAATAGTATATTTCTACTACGATAATCCTCCTGTTTTTGATAGATATAATTAGGGAGCTCAGAAAGTTACATGTCGCATCTTTACCAGAACTTTATCTTCTCTTTAATCTCAACTTGTTCAGATTGTCTTATTTTATCATCCTGTGAAGTTATTTTGGTTTCCGTTTGCTCCGTCGTAAACAATGATGCGAAACGTTACGAAATCACAAGCTATGAACGTTTAGTGAATCGACAGTTTTGATATGTATATAGACTTGAATCAAACCAGTGGCTAGCTACGAGGTTTGTGTGTGTGTGGGGGGGGGAGGGTGGGGGGATTGCTCCAAATCAATTAGCAAAAAGAAAACTACAAATTGAAAAAGGGTGAGGAAGGGAAGGGAAAGGGACATGAAAACTAAATGATGCCTTCCCCCGTTACGCATGCCCCTCCCCGATCATGTCTTGTCAATTCACATTTTTACATCTAATAAAAAATGGTGCTGACCCACCCCCTCGTCCCGATGGCTTTAACACTTTATAATTAGGAACACCATACCCAAAATATTTTAACAAATATTAAACAAACTATGAATTTATATAACAAATAACCGTCAGGTCTATGGATGCGTTCACAGGGTTTCCCGTATTGTCTTTAGTATTGACTTCAAATTTCACTCACTGCATTTATGTGCTTGCGTGCGCGCGCGAGTGTTTTGTGCTCGCGTGCGTATGTGTGCGTGTGTGTGTATTTGTGTGTGCGTGTGGGGGGGGGGGTGATTGGTTCACGAATAAAGTGGTCATGATATTCAAATAACCCTTCTTATGCACAGCATCAACCAATTGATCATCCCTCGAGCAATCAATCATCCATGCTTCGTAATCACCTAACAGTCACTGATTCTCACCCTTTTGTCTACGTTTCACTGTTCTAAAGAAATCAGACCAGAATGTCGAGTTATATGTCGAAAGGCTTTCATGCTTACCTAAACAACAGTTAGTGTGATCTCAACATAAGTGCAGACTGTAAGAACTATTTATGGCTAGACGTATCGGTTCAAATGTAATGGAATTACCTAAATTCACAATCCTGCCTTACCGAATATCTTCCCTAATACTTACACGTATAAGAAGACAACTATGTACTAGTTATTAAAACAACACTTCTGTCAATTTCATTAAATTATCAAATATAACCTTTGGTACAACACCTTTTCGGATAACTTTCACACAAATGATATGCCCAACTGAAACATGATAATTGCCCTAACATGACTAATGTAAATTATGCTAATTTTCCTTCATTTGGCAGTACCTATATCGACACGATGTGCCATTGCTGTTGCGCATGCGCATATGCACTGACCAATCAGAGTTCGTCTGACTAAAATAGGATGTAAAATTACATCCCTCAAATATACACCCTTTCGTATTTCCGTGTTTTACTCCCTAAAAGGTGTTATAGGGGGTGCCCTATTTATCCAATTTCTGTTTACTCCCCAAGAACACCTTTTATTTCTTTGTGTGTATATCCATAATAAACCATGTTCGAATTATCATAATTTATTAATATTTGTCTTTCATACCGCTAAATCAACTCCAAATTCATGTCCAAAGCGACCTAAACTGACAGATTCCTGTCTATTCGTCGTGATGTTAAAAATCTTGTTTAAAAGGGAAACTGAATGAATGAGAAAAAAAACATATAAAGAAACAAAAAGTATTTACCCTTTCATTATTGCACGAAAGCAAATTAATACCTCATTTTCCGCACCCGTCCAAAGTACGGGTCAACAGGGGTCAATTTTGTTGAAGATACAGTGACGACATTACACGTGGACCCGACCGGTTTATCTATATAGCTGTGGCGATGAGCCGTGCTTAATTAACGCAAAGTCATTGTGAATTTACGTACTCCATCAAGTCCATAAGAAGTTTTCGGTTGAAAAGTTCCGATTTTCAAAACTTTAGATTTTGACTTTTCAGAGAGCTGATAGTCCTCTGACAGACATTAAGATGGCATGCAATTGATGTTATCGTAAGGTATGGTTTATAAGCTTTCCGTTGATATATAATTAATCCATTTTATTTTTCAGTTCGGATATGTTCTTTAAATAAACAACACTAACATAATTAAATAATTGATTTCGCCATTAACCACCTGACAGGTCCAGAAGGTAATCGGCCGCAAGCGCAAGACAGTCGACTCGTCCAAGTGGGCCATGAAAACCTCGACCACTGGCATTGGTCGAACCGAGTTAACGGGTATTTCTCATGCCACAGAATCCAAGCTGGGAGAAGTTCATTAAACAGAATTCGTGGAACCGGTCCCCGAAACAATTACGTAATCTGGACAATTTGTTTATACCTCTAATACCCCATTCACAGTGGTTTTGAAATTTGTAGCGGCGTTGTAGCGGAGCGGCGACACCGCCATAACACCGCTACAAATGCATTCACAGTAGAAAAATTACCCCGCTGCAGCAGCGGGATAAATATCATGTACCCATTCACGCTGCAGCGGGTGATTTTTATTACCTCCGTAACAAACACGTGTATGCATGGCTCATGACCCGCGAGTGACCCCGATATGACCGGAAATACTTCAGCGCGGGGTTTTAGGGTAAACATGTCAAGTTGCTTTTTGTATCCTCGATCATATTACTTTTTAAAAAACTAGCATTTTTATTGCTTCCAGTCAGAATATTTTAATTTTTGAAGTGTGAAATATTTTTATTTGGATAATTATAAATCTACATAATAATAAAATCAATTTGAATCCACTGGTTACTTTATTTCTATTTCACTTTATGTTCCCCATTGCTGGAGAAAAGAGGTCAGTGATAGGTAAGTAAACAAATCACACGTGTTTGTCGCGGTGTTATAGCGGAGAGCCTTCACACTGAGTAAACACCGCGACAGCAGCGGGACTGTCCCGCTGCTGTAGCTAGGCGAGCCTAGCGATAGTTTGTCGCGGCGTTATCGCGAGGCGGTGTTATCCCGCGATAGTTTATAACGGGTCCGAGCCTTCACACTGAAGACAACACCGCGACAGCAGCGGGACAGTCCCGCTGCTGTCGCGGTGTTTGAGGCCACTGTGAATGGGGTGTGAGTTAGTCTATTAATGAATTAAACCATGTTTAAACAAGAGGGTTAATAAAATAGCATAATCATTAAGACGAAGTTAGGGTTTTCATCGGTATCATTAAATATTTTCAAGTTATATTGACTCAAAATAAACTAAGTAATGAGGATTAATTCCTTACCAAAGGGCACTTGCGCATCGAGTTGCTTTCGAGCCCGGTTACGAGACCACTGCTCTATCAATGAGCCATCACGCCTATTTTGGCTACCATAAAAAAATTGTTATTGTAATTAAAATCAGAGAAATCGTTTATTAGAAGTGTAAGGACAATTAATAGAAATTAATCTCATTTAAATTTAACATCATTTATTTAATATTTAAAACTATTAAACAAATGTATAGGTCATAGATCTTCTATCATTAACAGACGGAGAGGTAGATAATTATCAAATTTAAGGAACAAATAATGTCGCATAGAAGATCTGATATCATTGTAAATAAATGTGTAAATTAGGCATATATAAATTTCGTTCATTTTAAATGTATCGGAGATAAAATCTTCTCTTTTTGGAGTCATATACGGATTATGCCGTGTTGGTAGTGGAATCAACACAGAGAAACACAGAGTGGAATCTACTTCCAAGGAGTATGATTCAAACCACTAATTTGGAGTGGATTTCACTATGATTTGGAGCGAATTCCATAATGATTTGGAGTGGGTTCCACTATGATTTGGAGTGGATTCCATTATGATTTGGAGTGGATTCCACTATGATTTGGAGCGGATTCCATTATGATATGGAGCGGATTCCATTATGATTTGGAGTGGATTCCATTATGATTTGGAGTGGATTCCATTATGATTTGGAGTGGATTACATTATGATTTGGAGTGGTTTCCTCTATAATTTAGAGTGGATTCCTCTAAGATTTGGAGTGGATTTCACAAAATTAACCATGTCTGTTTACATATTGTAGGCCTATATGCTTGTCTGGAATGTAATCTCACAGATTTTGTCAATTAATATTAAGTAGAAAATAACATGTTTAAGATGCACACAACTAAGCAAAATAGATCGGCGGGAAGGGAAGGGAACTAAAACAAATGTGAGACAAATTTTCAGGAAAATAAACGAAATTCGATGAATGAGTATGGTTATAAAAGTTATATAATACTTTGTTGTTTTTTTCTGATATTTTGTTTATTTAGCTTACTAATATTGGTGTAATAAGCAAAATAATATTGGTGTAATAACCAATTACATTATTTTTTTTTGCTTTTTCGTTTGTAGTACTGTATGTAATTTACATGGCTTTTCTTTAAAAGTCTTTCATCTAATGCTCGTGTGCTAAATATTCAATGTCTTTCAAAAAATGAGTCTTTCGCTCTGAATTTTTCTCAGGTTCAACGAAGATGTAAATTTTGTTACGTATGCTGTATTTTCTGGAATGTGTAGTTTGCATTTTGTAATTTACTCAGATATCGCAATTCTCACTTTCTCTTCCATTAAATATGTTTTCGTGATTTCGTTTAAGTTTAGTTTTGTAGTTTACTTACATGTATTTCAAGGGAACTAATTAGAATGTCGTGTAACTATGAAGGGCATTTAAATGGTATCACCATTTTTATGACTGAAAATATCACAAGAAGTAGTTTGTAAGGGTTTTAAATCGCACGTTGATATTAATTCAGATATTAAACTTTGTGTCCTTTTTCGATGTATAAATTATATCCCCGAAGTCACTTTCAGGCATGTCAAATGGTTTTTCACTAAATTAGGTATTGGATTTATCAATAGTATATTATGTGTGTGTGTGTTACATTTTTAAATTTGTAATTTGTAACTAGAAATGATAATATTCAGGCCATGTGATAAAGATGTGTTTTTTTAACCAATGTTGTAAAGTTATTTCAGTATTTGTTGCAATATGGCACGTAGTATCTGTCATCATTTTCACCATTTAGCAAAAAAAAATCATTGTAACAGTTACATGCTACGATTATAGAAAAATTTTGCACATTATTTAATTTTAATACTCATATCAACAACAAAACTTATCAGAAATGAAATGGAAATGTCGGGAGAAACCAATGCTGTCCAAAAATGAAATCAAATTTTGTGAATCGTGGTCAGGCATGAGCATTAAAGTTTACACGGGACATATTTATACAGATGGCTTGCAGTGCGCACGCCCTCATACAAGTTTTGCAAATTGTTGGTGTATTCATGTATATATATAGTAATTCTTATACATACGATTTGTCATATAGAAAGCACCTCTTAGTGCCTCATATGTAGCATGAATATCATGGATTATATGTCTTAAATGTAAAAAAAAAATCGTATTAACCGATTTCAAATACACGCATGTACACGCATGTACACGCAAATACACGCATGTTTGTAAAATCACGTGTTCCTATTTTATCTGTAAAAAGAAAAAGGGTCTATATTTTCTATCAAGTATCCTAGAAATGACGGTTATTTAACACGAGTTATCTCGAAGAATGTGAAAATTCAGAAATGTTAAATATTTTCTAATGGCTATAGTTAATATTGTAATAATTATATTATTTACATTTAAATTCGGCACCAGAGAGATGTATGTACATGTACATGTATTATATACTATTGAGGCACATGAAGATAAGACCATTCGTTATGATTGAGAATGCACCTGCTAGAAATACCATCATCTCGTTGTGGATTTACAGATTGAATTTTGTAGATTGAAATGGTTGAATATAACTTAAGGAAGGTTTTATCATTTCAATTATAGATTAGTATACAATATATTTATTGTTCGCAAATCCATTGTTTAGTTATATATATTATGCTCAGCCAACTTGTAAGCACTTTAAGATATCTTGATATTAAGTAAATTAGAATAGAAAGCAAAAACATATCAGACTGTCACCTAATTTCGATGTTAAAAATAATCCAGGAAAGAATTTACAATTTTTAGAAAATCAATATAACTAATGCACTTTATAGCTTGAGCGTTAAATCACACTTTATAAGGGCCAAAGAGTGGCAACATTTTCATATTAGGGTACACTTACAATTCTAAAATGATGGATTCTGCCACTGCTGAATCTGGCATTTCCTCGGCTATTTTAAATGTTGATTTAACATGAGCTTTTAGGGTGTGTCATAGAGTATATGTAACATCGTGAGAAGAAGAAAAAAAAGCATGATAAAGAAGGCAAAATAAATGGAGGGGGAATTTTAGTGCCCTTGTCCCTTATGTCATACGCTCGGGTTTGTCAATCAATATTTTGCTCATTTGACAGCATTAGAACGGGGCTTATTGTCAATATCTTGCGATGAAATTTTAACTGCTTAGTTTTGTCACGATAACAAAATTCTTTAGAGCACTTTTGATTTACTTCTCGTTACATAGTTTTTCAAACACAGCGTAAAGTACACTTAATTGTTTGGTCAATAAACAACAAATAATTTCACTCAGTACTGAATCAACCGTTGGCTGAAAGGGGGGGGTAGCTGAAATGGGAGCGTGTGGGAGGGGAATAGCCCCAATGCATTCTAGAATGACTGACCCATCGGTATATCCATTTTTTTAAAAGGGTCGAAATCTGGCGGATATAGAAATAGAATGCATCCAGGGCGTCAAAGAAAATTCTGTTATAGTTATTGATTTTTGTTGTGGTATTATAAAGGGGGCATATACTGAAGAGGCCTCCACCGGTATCTTTCAAAAACTACCAGTAGAACGTTAAACCATTTTAGGCATTATTATAATTTCGTTTATCAACCACAGCTAATTCAAATGGACAATTATTTCAATGTAACACAATAATGCATGTTCGATGTTGTAAAAATACAATGCGGATAACAGAAATATCATCTTTAAATTGGATTTAAAGACTTTAGTAATAAAAGAGTAATTTAGTCATGATCACTTGTTACTTGTCAACTCATAAGACATTACGTGAAATTGAGTATCGCAAAGAATAGCACAGTCCAAATCGGTATAAGATATTTCATGTGTTTTACTCAATCGAACTCTGTACTCAAGTACAATGCTTAGTATCCTGTTTCAACATTGCATATAATGAGTAATATACAAACAGATCCATGTGTTAATCAAACATGTTTAGGTTATAATTTAAGTTTTCGATGAAAGTGCCTTGGGAACGGGGCAGGGAATGTGTGTTCGTGCCTCATGGACGTTTGCCGTACCGATACTCAACGTTGACCCT